CTTCCGATCTCCATTCTCTTTGGCAGCGGCAGCAGCAGCGGTAGGCAGCACCAATCATTCGTGAGGTCAATCGCGGATACGCAAGGCGCTCTGCTAAGCGTAGAGTTGAGGTTTGGGACCCTGCCTCCCTTGATTGCACGCGTACGTCTTGCACGTTGCACCGCTTACGACACTCGTGACTCATGACTCGGTGAATGACTTGATCGTGACCGTACCGCGGTGCCTGCTGCTGTATGTACAGTACGTGCTGCATGCGCACAGAGGGCGCAAAGGCGCTCCTGCATCTATGCCGTTGCGGTGGACAGCGCCGACAGGAGCCATGCAGCATGAGCTCGGGTTTTGATGCGCTGATGATGATGCTGCTGCGAATGATGGCCACCGCGGTATACACACTGATATATGCGGCATGGCCGTTATGGCCGTTCCTATACGTACTCAGACTAGGTACGTAGCTGTTATGGGTGCATGGCAGCTCTACGCAGGCAGACATGCATGCATGTCGCGGGATCCTGCATCACCAAGATCATGGCATGGGGCAATACAGTGCGAACGTTTCATGCGCACAGCTCGTGTCAGCCACACGCAAAGCGCTCTAATCGGGGAGCTTTGCAGGTCACGAGTGCCTCGACATGAGAAGCCCCTGAAAGCAGACCTCCCCATCGATCTATCCTCATGACCTCCACTCGCTTCAGCTTCGCGCTTGCACGCATTGCACGCATTGCACGAGAGACCACAGAGTCCATCACTTTGCGAAGTGCCTCACCTAAAGCCTGCGCTTGGCATCGCATCCCTCACACACACCGAAGCCCTGCCTCTCAAGTCACCCTGCTTCGGCCACGGCGTTGAGCTTGCGTTACTGTACCAGGTGTACAGTTTGAGTGCACGTCTGCATTTCGACCCCACATCGCACGGCAACTCCAACGGTTGGCTCCAAGTGCTGAACACCATCTCAGCGGTACAGTACGACGCGCTTGACCGCCATATTGTATCGGAGACGAGGCCCATCCACGCTCTACGCGGCTGCAATTTCGTCATTGCACCGCCCCACTGAACTGAAAGCACACGGAGCGGTGATAAGGGGTCATCGCGCGGAGCTCCGTGCGACCGAGCTCGGCCAAGCTACGGCACAATACCGGAAAGACCTCGGCAAGGTTTCACGGAAGTGGGCGGTGGAGGGATATCAACCCTCATCACAGCGATACTCGACACGGCATCCACGAGACCTCATCTCAAGCTCAAAGTCCGGCACCATTGCGTCTTCGCAACCTCACACCCGCAGCGCATCTCAAAAAGATTTGGAGAGGAGGTCCGTCACCGACACAGCTATACCTTTCGCCATGAACTCTTCTCCTTCTTCAAGCAGGCCTAGGACGCCCAATGAAGGGTCTTCCGGAGAGTCGATCATTGGGGGAAGGGTCGCTCGTGCGACGCGCAACGCGGCCCATATCGGGTCGGTGGTTGATGACTGGGTGGGTTTAGCGTCTTTCCAATGCTGACAATTAGCTTTCAGGCAAGCTCTGGCTAACGATTACCCACGTCTTCGCAACCACCGGAATTGCAGCCGATGTACTCGAGTCAGCCTCAAGACTACGTGATTGGAGATGTGATTGGTGAGTCTGGACCGTTGGGGGGAGAGGACAGCTTCGGGCCTCCATGTCATATTTCAGCCACTCTGAAAGCTCTCATGGCCATGTCATCTTTGCAGGCTTTGGAGGCAGCAGCGTGGTATACCAGGCAGCGTTTGTGCCTCTAGGCGGAGTGAGTGTGGTTCGTGTGGCGTCACTCGTACATGAGAAGAACTTGGAAATACTTACCAGTCGCTGGTGGGCCTCTCTAGCGACCATGTGCGGTCAAAGTAGTCGATCTCGAAGCTTTCGGAAGGGACACTGAGGGGGTGAGTGTGATGAAGCAGATGCACAGCTCGCACGAGCTTTAGCACGCTAACAATGCAGCGCGTCGCCTGTCGCAGCTTCGCCGCGAGACACAACTCATGTCGCTCTCGAAGCATCCGAACGTTTTGAGAGTCCGTGGATGCTGGGTGCAAGGAAGCAAGTTGCATATTGCCACGCGTCTCATGAGCGCAGGATCCATGCTGGATATCATGAGATTCTCATATCCAGAGGGGTTGGAGGAGTTGGTGATTGCTACGGTGCTCCGGCAAGCCTTGGAGGGCTTGAACTATCTGCACATCAATGGCTGGTTGCACCGGTGAGCTGCATATGCTGCGTTTAAAAGCCAAGACGTACGAGCTGACGCCATGCATGCGCCGCCTTCCTATCCTATAGAGACATCAAAGCGGGAAACATACTCGTGGATGACGATGGCACGGTATTGTTGGGTGACTTTGGAGTGGGCGTATACTTGGGCGACTGGTCAGAAGGGGCGGATGCGGCAGCAGTGAAGGACGCTGGACCGCCGAAAGCGGTGCCAGTCCTGGACGATGGCAAACGCAAAAGCTTTGTGGGAACAGTGAGTGGTTCGTAGACTAGTGACAAGAATCTGCATGGTAGTAACCGCATTGCTTTGCTCGGCAGCCATGCTGGATGGCCCCGGAAGTGGTTGAGCGCAAGCGGTACGGCACGAAAGGTGAGTTGGTGAGCCCAGGGGTTCTCGAAGTCGAAATTGTACACGTGGCTGAGGCGAGGACACATCACCCGAGCAGCCGACATCTGGTCTATCGGCATCACAGCGCTTGAGCTGTCACAGGGCAGAGCGCCGTACTCCAGGTTACCGGCGGTCAAAGTTCTCATGAAGACGCTTCACGAAGATCCACCCACTCTCGATCGCACTGGCAATGCACACAAGTACGGCAAGGTCTTTGATGACTTTGTGCGTGTGTGCCTACAGAAAGATCCGGAAAAGAGGTAAGCACGAGAAGAGGTGCTGTGAATCGCCACTGCGCGGGCTGAACCCGAATCCAATTACCATTCAGGCCCTCAGCTGCACAGCTGCTTGGTCACGCCTTTTTCAAACAAGCAAGGAATAACAAATATTTGACCACAACAATTTTAGCGGGGCTACCGCCGCTTTCGGAACGACAGGACCGGCGCAGAGCCATGTCAATCACTTCCCTAAGAAATCAGCCTTCTTGGGACTTTGGAAGTGTATCGAGCCGGCACGGTACCATCACCTCCATCGACCCTTTTCGGGGCTTTACAGGCGCAACCTCGATTCCAGTGTCTCCTGTGGGGTCGATCAGATCGCATGCGATGAACCTTGACGGATCTATCGTCATACCGGAGCATGGGGATGCAAGCAATGGCACGGATATGTACGAGCTTTGGCGACCTCCTTCCGCAAGGTTCGATGCCGAGGTGAGTACGGCGTTGCGGAAGCGTCAGGAGCTTTATGAATGGTTGCGCTGATTTCTGGTCGCTGGTCACAGCCATTGAGTCCTTTGCGCTTCAACAGTGCTGGTCGGAGACCCCGAAACCGCTCTACGGACTCTCCCAAAGGCTCGCTCGGTCGCAGCGCAAGCGGACCAGTGCGGCACCACAAGTCGGTCTCTTTCGACAGCAAGGCAGAGAACGACGAGTTGCTCGGAGATGACAGCGATCCTAGCACTTCATCTCCGGTACAGGCGCACGCGAGTGCCCCGCCCGAGGATAGGCCACTGGAGACGATTGCTGAGATGAGGAGCCCACCGCTGGGCCCTTTGTCGTCCAGTCCTCCCGCGCTAGATACCATACCATCGCTCGGTGCGCAAGTTGGCTCCAACCCATCTGAAGAGCAGACCTCGGGCTTTGCGGCGCTGTCGCTCAACGACAAGATCAAACCTGCCCCGCCATCTAGCGAGTCTGGCGAGACCAGCTCAACAGCAAACATGTCCGACGGCGCGGGGGGCGTCACGAATGACCCTGCCCGACCCGTCAACACTGCGGAAACGACGCCGGCTTCCTCGACTGCTACTGTCGATGCGCCGCAGCTCGGAGCAGGTCCGGCCACTTCGCAAAACAAGGAGCAGGCGGACGCGCTATCGAAGTCGTCCCCGCGATCATTGCGGGCTGACCCAATCCCACCCGAGCCGAGCCCTGCGCGCTTCAAGACTGCCAGTCGCCTCACCAAAATTTTCAGGAGAGATGCGAAGAATTGATGGCGTGGCTTGAATGGAAACCTCGTGCCGGGCGCCGGGCTATCCCTCTGAATTCTTCATCCGAGTGCAGCGCATGTCCATCGTACACGTGTACTTTTACATTGCAGTCAATTGCAAGGCACCCTGCCCACCAGATATCTGTCCGTCAGGCTCCTTGACTTTTCTTTTTGTTTTACCTGATCTCTGCGTGACTGCACACACCATCGCATGCCTTGATTCACCCATCACGACTCCCATGGCCGAGGTGCATTCGTGATCGAGTGGCTGCTTGCTTCTTGTGGAGCGCTGCACCGCGCGGTGACCGCGCACGCATCATCAAATTAGCGCGTTCGGTTTCGACTCTCGACTTCCGCCTTTGAGCGGAGGTTGAGCTCGCGCGCGCCTTTGCGCTCGGCGGCTACTTCGTGCGACTCGTTGGCCGCGCTGCATTTAAATTCCTCGCGACTCGCCACCGCATTCACCTCACACACACCCATTGGCGGCATCCGATCGGTCATCACTGAACTCATCTGCTCGCACCGGCACATTGCCATGCGGTGCTCTAGTCGCCCGGCTAGGACGATTGAATGTCTTTCACTCAAGATGCCACCGAATCTGTCGAACACCGGTCAGGGCTCGCGCTCTTCGAACACAGCTCAAGACCCGTCTGGCTCGACCAAGCCTGCCAATGCTAGAAAAGATGGAAAGCAACCGCTATTCAAGTACAAAACTGCTATTGTCCAGCCCATTCAGTCGCTGCATGCAAATCCGACAGACCCGACATGCAAACCTGTGCCCGTCACCCTTCGCGAAGCAATGTTCAAGGATTGGTCCAGCTTTGTCCACCTGCCTAGGTTGGCACGCTTAGCGGCAGCCACTCGTCCGTACGCCAACCTTTCCAAGCGAGCCAGGGACACGGCTGATGATCATCATCCAGCGAAGCGTGCTCGGCTCGAGGGAGGGACAGGCTCGCGGAGGGAGCAGAATACCGATCCATCCGTTCAGGTGGCGAGCGAGGCCGCAGCGCCACGCGCATCCCCGGAGGTGGAGCCAAATTTAGACTTGCATCTTGCAAGCACTGAGCTCCTGTTTTCTGTTATGCTGCCTACAGGATGCATGGAAAAGGATCGCATCGCTGCGTTCGCTGAGCTCTCATCTGGTCTCAAACTGCATGGAAGGACGGTTTCGTTGTGCACGTGCAATGTGCATGTTCAGAAGCAGGGCAAAGGCATTGAAGGTGGCGAAGACCTGCAAGATGGGATGGGAATCTACAAATTGCAGGTGCGGGAGGAAGAAAGCGGAGATCACATCGCTTCTCTGCCGCTCATCGATGCATCCAATGCCGACTACTCTCGGAACTCGTGGAGCTGGACGAATGGGCTGTGGCTAGAACACGCAGAACACCTCGTTAGAGATGAGGTGCTTGTCATGCGCGCTGAGCTTGCCGCTCGCTGGCCTCGCGCAATGAAAAAAGATCTAGATGGTAGCGCGACAGCAGCAGCGAAAGGCCACGCATTTGAGCTCGTTCTGGGTGTGACTCTCAAGCTTCGGCGCATGGCGCTCCATCACCCACACGTCGCTTCGGCCGGTCACCTGCGAGAGCTCATCCGATTCGTATCGCCTTGTCCATTGCGCGAAGCATATCTGAGTCCCGAGGCGCGTCAGGATGCCGGCTCGACCAAATTCGTCTACGATAACCTTCTCCCCACCAAAGTGGTGCCACGAGGCGATGAGCAGCCCAGGGACCTCGCCGCCCGTCTTTTGCCCTTCCAGCTCGCTTCGACGCGGTTTCTGCTGGATCGCCAAGATGCGCCCGGAATACGTAGAAGCTCACCGTCGCCGCTAGCAGGTTCCCCTTCGCAGACAGGGTCCGAAGACGCGCAGCTCGGCTTATGGTGGGAGCTTATTCGCACCCCGCCCGGTGCGCCAAACCTCTTCTTCAACGTGCTTGATGGGAGGGTCACCAATCAAGACTCACAAGCGCGGGCGGAAGACGTCTGCGGAGCCATTCTCGCGGAGGAGATGGGTCTAGGCAAGGTGTGTCTACGGCGGCGGATCGTCGATGGACGCCATGCTGGATTCTGACAATTCTGTACCGTCTGCACAGACTGTTGAGATACTGGCAGTCGTGCTGGCTGGCACCGAGCGAGCGCACCTACAGCTTCCCGCGATCACGTTCCACAACGCTGAGCTCGAGGTCGACGTGCTACCGGTATGCACCACTTTGATTGTTTGTGAGTAATAAGCGCCTCGCCACGTCAACGCGAGCAAAGAAGCTAAAAATGTCTCACTGTCTCTGGCTTAGGTCCAGAGATTCTGTGCCAGCAGTGGCTGGATGAGACCGCGAAGCATGCAGAAGGCCTAAAGTGTTACCATTTCACCGGCCACGTCAAAGCTCAGCGAGACGTGCCCAAGGGCTCGACGTGGCTAGAGTGGGCTTCCACATTTGACATCATTGTCGCATCGTACACCGTCGTGAGCCGAGAGGTGAGTTGCGAGTGGTGACAATGACTATGTTGTACACTTCTTGTCGCTCACGGTCGAATCCCACATTCCTAGTTCTACGTCGCGAAGCCAGAGCCACAACGCTCACGACGTTTTGAGCGCAAGTATGAGCGCGCTCGAAGCCCCTTGGTCCAGCTCGAATTCTGCAGGGTAGTGATGGACGAGTCACAGATGGTAGGACATCAGCAAGCATCCGACGTGGTATCTCTCATCCAGCGCAGATCTTCGATTGCGGTGTCAGGCACGCCTTTGAAGCAAATAGGCGATCTGCGCGCTCTATTTAGGTTTCTGAAAGCGCTGAGTCCGTGGAAGGATGTTCCTTGGCATCGGTACATAGAAGCTGGCAACGCACCCTACCTTGCGAGGGTCATTCAAAGGCTTGGCACTCGTCATACTAAGGACGGCATCCGGGATCAACTTCGCATTCCTGTCCAGACGCGTTATTTAGTCCCCATTGAGCTCGGACCAGTTCAAAGATCTTCTTACGATCAGCTTTTGGCCGCCGCGCTTGAGGACATGGGACTCAATCAGGCTGGAGAACCTGTCAACGAAGATTACGAAGCAAATGTGAATCGTATCGAGTACGTCCGGCGCGTCGCGCTACTGACACATATACTCTGTTTTCCCCTTACGACACATGCGCAGGTCAACAAACTTCGCCATCATCTGAATCTCCTGAGGCAAACCTGCACACATCCTCAACTTGCGGCGTGGTCGTCAGCTTCGTCTGCTGATCGGCAAGTCAACAGTAACAATGGGCGCATGTTCGTCTCGAAGCACATTCAAGACATGCAAGAATACCTTGGAGTCATGAGGGGGTCCAAGGCGGCAGAGCGGGACTCGCACTTTGTTGGCTTGCACCAAGCTCGCATTGACAAGGCGATGCTGCTAATGCTGGACAAAGACAATTCCGGCTGGTACGAGCAGGCGAAGGAGATATTGCTTGATGCCCGCCAACAGCTCGACGCGCGCATCAAGGAACTTGAAGCAAACCTCCCACTCAGCATCAAGGAGGGTCCATACTATCGCTTTTCTTCTGCGGAGCTTGCTTCTGAAGGCTCAGACATCGATGCTCTTGCTGAGCAACACTACGAAGAGTCAGAGTCTGATGCGGTACGACGAGAAATGCTAAAGGCTCGCCAGATCAATATCGGAGCTCTCAAGAACCGCATTCGCAATCACTACGAGCAATTGCACCGAGCATGCATGTTTCTGGGTAATGTGTACTTCTCCATTGGACAAGCGAGAACTATCGCTTCCGCACAAGCAATGCAAGTCAAAGCTTCGGAAATCCCGATGGATGTCGAG